CCTCCTGTCGCGGGGGTTCCTCTCCTCCTGTCGCGGGGTCCCCTCCTGTCGCGGTCGGTCCCGCCGGTGGCCGCGGGGGGCGCTGCGGTGCCGAGGCCGCGCCCGCCGCCCCTTCCTGCGCGGCGGTGCCGGGCGGGTCCCGCAGGGGGCGCTGGCCCGGCCCGGCCCCGTTGCCGGCGCCGTTCCCGTTCCGGCGGGCGGAGGGAGCGCGGCGGGAGCGGCCCCGGGAGGCTGCGGGAGGCGCCGCGGACATGCCCGGGCGGCCCCGGGGACACCCGCAATAGTCCTCGCTGTCGGCGGCGCTGGGCGGGGAGCGGCGGGCGAGCTGCCCCCTCCTCTCCCCCCCCCTCCTCCTCCTCCCCATGGAGGGGCCGTACGCGCTCGGGGTGAGCGTGTTCTCGGACCAGGGCGGCAGGAAATACATGGAGGACGTGACCCACATCGTGGTGGAGCCCGAGCCGCCGCCAGGGCCGCACAAAGGCGGAGCGGCGCCCGCAGGCCCCGGCGCCGCCGAGCCCCCGGCCGAGGGCGGGCGGCGCCGGGGGGGGACCCCGCGGGCGGCCGAGGAGGGAGCGCAGCCCCCCGGCAGCGGCCCCGGGCGGCGGCCCCGCCGCTCCGTCGCCTTCTTCGCCGTGTGCGACGGGCACGGCGGGCGGGAGGCGGCCCAGTTCGCCCGGGAGAACCTGTGGGGCTTCATCAAGAAGCAGAAGGGCTTCGGCTCGGCCGAGCCGGCCGAGGTGTGCGCGGCCCTGCGCAAGGGCTTCATCGCCTGCCACCGCGCCATGTGGAAAAAGCTGCGTAAGTCCCGCACCCTCCGCTCCCTCCCGCGGGAGAACCGACCCCGCCATCCCCCTGCGCTGCTCCGCGTTTTAGCCGCCTTTTCCTTCCCCCGCACTATTGTGAGTTGCCCTTCCGTCTCTGCCCCCTCCGTCTCTGCCGTCCCTGTGCCGGGAACGGGGAGAACGCGGGGTGGGATTCGAGGTCTCGGCTCGAGTGGTTCGGTGGAACGAGAAAAACTGGAGCGCGGGCTGCGAGAGAAGAGATGTAAACACAGGGTGGTGAGGACGCGCTGTTGTGTAGCTGGGAATGGTGTGATGGGAGAGCTGCGGTTTGTTTTCGGCGTGTTACAGGTCGGATCTCCAAACCGGATTTATTTGGAGGTCTTCGCCTTGTTGCCCTGGGGAACTGCGCGGGACTCCCGCTTAGATTTCCCTGGGATCATTTAAAAAAAGATAATTTTAACAAAGCGGGCTGGGACGGCGTTTTTTCCTTAAGTGTGCTTCCAGTTGTTTTTGTGAGTCCTGATGGAAGGATTGAAATGTGGCTGGTGTATAACGGGTACTCGTGTTGTTCTGTGAGCATCGGGGGTTATGCAGGGTCCCTGCCAAAATAGAGAACACGCTCGGTATCCTGAGTATTCTGTATATTGTTTGCTTAACTGCAGGAGGATAGAATAACTGCAGGGGTCCTAAATAGGGAAGGCTAAAGGAAAAAGAGTGCCCAGACAGGTGACAGTCATCGTTCCTGTGCTATTCCTTCTCCCTGCGTCTAGTGAGACTGAAGAATTGAGTTTTTGAAAGGTATTTTTTTTTCTGGGTAAGGTGAAGGTTATGGTTTAGAGTATGGTTATTGTTTATATAGGATGTGTAGAGTGTGTGTGTACTGTGTGTGGATTTATGTGTTCAAAAGCCTCAGGAAGAAAAAAATACAACAGCAGCATCCAGCATATGAAGACAGAAGGGTGTGGAACACGGGAAAATCGGATCCAAAACACCGTGACATAATGACAGTTGGGCTTGGGAGGGAAACCTGAAAAGCAAGAACTGCACTCTGAGCACCCCCGGGGGATTTCAGTGAAGTGATTCAAGGGGTGGGGGGGATTATAACGTCAAAACAGTTTCGTTTTCCTTTTTCTTGAACAGCGAAATGGAGAAGTTGTGCAAATGTCAGATGCTTGAGAAATGCAGGGGAAGAAGTAGCAGGGTCGAGGGCGCTCTGTGTGGAGAGGAAAGGGTGTGTGAGGTTTAGGAGCAGCAGAACTTGCCCACAGCCCTGATGTTGGGGTGGGTGCCCTCCTGGGCTGCAGAGCTGGGTGATAAGATGTGTGAGCAGGGGAAGGTGGCATGGGGGGGAAGATAAGGAGTTCAGTTTTCTGCTTGTGGTATCCCTGGTGTGCTATTTGTCACTGGGACCAAAGGCAGAGAGGTGAAGTGCCAGAGTGCAGCAAGCCTTGTTTTAGTAAGGAGTGTTTAGCAATTACCGCTGGGGCTGTGGAAGCAATTTAAATTGTTGGGAGAAACAACATCGCTCTGGCTGTGAGTGTTTGATGACAGTTCGAGGTGTTTTGTAAACTCCAGAGTATGTTTGGCCTTAATGATTTGGGCTGCACTTGTGGAGGTGACACTGTGGGCATGAAATGGAGAACTGGGTATTTTGGTATCTTGGAAAGTCAAAGAACAGTTTGGAATTGTGGTGTGGGGGATGGAGGCTTTACTGCTTCCAGTTGGAAGAGAAGCCCCCACACTCAGCTGCTCTGTTGGTTGTTGGAAGCTCTGGGATCACCCTCTGCATCTCCTGGGATAGACACAAAACACACTGATTGTGAGAGTACCAGAAAAATTAAAAGAGAAAAATCCCCCTTTGGCATTGGTGATAATTTTTGGCGTTAATTCTATAGTAATAAAAATTTCTGCTGAAGAGGTTCTGGAGTAAAGGTTCACATTGGGAGCTACAAATCCAGTTTATGAGTTTATGGGCTCAAAGTTACAAGGCTGAGTGAAGGGTAGTGGTTTTCAAGTAGAGGGGAAAGTTGTTGTAGGAAGATGTTCTTGCTCAGGTGACAGGATTGCTGAAGACACGCTCCTGGTACCTGGAGGAGGGGGGTGAGTGGCTTCAATTCTAATGCTTGAGCTCAGAAGAAAACTCAATGGTTTTGCTGCTTCTGCTGATTTCTAAATGTCCTAAGAGAGAACTGTGCTGGGTCTAATAGTTCTGTCTGCACAGGAGCAAGGCACGAAGTGCAGTCCCTGCTGAGCAGCAGATCAGATCTGCTTCTGTCGAGCCTAAAATCTGAGGCTGCTCTATCAGTCTTTTTCTCACAAGTGGGTGATTTCCCTCTCTGTCTCCTCGTCCCCATAAAGGCTGATTTGACTCTCTGATAGGTTTTATTGCTGTTGAGGGGTTGTTCCACTGACAGAAACTCATTAGTCGCAGCTTGTTTTCTGTTAAGTGCACGGTTGAAGTCCTCATTACCACTTGGCTCCCTCCCTCGTTTCCTCCCATTTGGAATGTGTTACATTTAATATCCACAGTTAAAATTGCCAGACAAAGTGCTTCCAATAAGCTGATTGAATGTTTGTGTTCCTGAAATAAAGCTACTCCGAGGGAGAAAGTGTGGTTTAGTATTTAGAACACAAAGCTAGAACGCTGTTAGAGCTCAAATGTTTAAATTGTGCTGAATGTCTTGGTAGCTCATGCCGAGGGGATGCAGCTTTTACCTTCATCCTGCCTATAAATTGTGCTTCTCCTTCAGCACTTTTCCCTCAGGCATCTGAACACTAGAACTTAAATTCCTCGTTTTTTGGTTCCGCTTAAAGCCGTGGAAGTTTAAAAATCTGTATCTTCGCAGAGGGGAAGGAGTAATTGCGTTGAATTCTGCTTTTCTCGTCTGTTTGTTTCTGGTGTGTTTGTTGTGTCCCAGGAAAGAGAAGAGCACAGTGCTCTGGCAGCCTGGCTGGGGTATTCCCTGCAGACAGCTTGTGTCAGGGTGGAATTCCTGCCTTGTGAAGTGCAGGAGATAGAATGTGACAGGGAGATGAGTCTCCCCGTGGAGTTTGTCTGGAGACGTGAGTGGGTGCAGTGAAGAGGAAACAGGAGGTTGCTGTTGACAGTTGAAATCAAGTGATAACTGGGAATTGGAGTTGGGATTTCGGTGGGTGCTGGAGCGGGGAGGAGGTGCTTTGGCTGAGCTGTCTGAATGGGGATGTCTCTGTGGAGGTTTGGAAGTAGATGTAAAAATAGAAAAGGCATGAAAGGGAAATTTGGGTTGGACATAGATAGGGAGAGCAGTGTAATAGGAAGTTAATATCAGTGGTTTGAGGGCAAAGCAGTTGAGAAAGAAGGAGATTTCCTTAACCGTGTGTAGCTGATAGCAGTGTAGGGATGTTGTTGCTCTGGTTTCAAGGGGTATCTCCTGTAGAAGTTGGATGTTGTGTTAAGGAGAGCATCTCTAAACAATCTGCATCAGTCTTCTCAAAGGAAATGTGGGTAAAACAGTTGAGATGTTGCTCAGCCTAAACGTTGTTGTTCAGCTATAAAAATAAAAGAACACTTTCTTTCCTTCCGAGGGGATCAGGAACATCCAGAAATTGTGATTGCCAGTCCAGTATCCAGAGAAAATAATGGAATTCGTGACATTTTTTCTTCTTCAGACAGGGAAATGAACAGTAGGTCTTAATGAAACACTCAGGGTCCTGTTTGAGGAGCACATCTTCCCCCGGGTTCTTCTAGTGGTGCTTGGAATATTAAGCCAGAGGAGGCAGTTTTTCGAATCCTACTCTGGTGCTTTGGTAGTGGCTTTATCTCCATGTCTGTGCCAATTCAAGCTGTAGCTCAGACTGCTGTGAGGAGAGTGGGGGTGCCCCGGGGGCACTGCTCGCCCTGGCCCTGCTGTGGTTAAGCCCAGGCCGTGTTGTAACACCACACAAGCCTCTGGCACACCCTCCATCCTGACCTTCAGGACGTTCCCAGCTCCAGAGAGTTAAAAACATGCCTTCCCTTGGCCTTTTCTCTCCCTGCAGCAGAGTGGCCCAAGACCATGACGGGCCTGCCCAGCACGTCGGGGACGACGGCGAGCGTGGTGATCATCCGGGGCTCCAAGATGTACGTGGCCCACGTGGGGGACTCGGGGGTGGTGCTGGGGGTCCAGGATGACCCCAAGGACGACTTTGTGAGAGCTGTGGAGGTCACACAGGACCACAAGCCAGAGCTGCCCAAAGAGAGGGAGAGAATCGAGGGCCTTGGGGGCAGGTGAGTGTGTCTGCTCTGACTGAGCTAAGCTTGTTTTGAGAGGGTCATGCAAGGAGCTGAATCTCACAGTGTATTTCTATTATCCTCTGGTTCTTTTATAGCTTGTTGGGGAATATGTTACAGTGATCCATTGTTACATGGTTGGGTTTTTTTGCTGGTGGTTTATGGCATATACAGAATTTTAAAAAGCCCAGCTGAGGTTTGCTTACAGTTGTACGTGTTCACCCAGCACTTTGAAAGTGGAGATGGTGATGTTTGACCTATTTTTTGCTAAATTCCAAGGAATCTGGGGGTTGGGAAAATTATCTTTGCACGTAGAGAAAATTATCTTTGCACGTAGAGAAAATTATCTTTGCAGATAGGGAAAATTACCTTTGCATATAAGTAAAATGATCTGAGGTCTGGAATACCGGGTTTGTCAAATTTTGACACCAACCACTGTAATTTCTCAGGTGTTCTGCATTGTTCCTGAGATGACAATGGCAGCTGCTGAGTGGGCTCCTCAAAGCTTCTGCATAGGGAACATTAAAAAAAAAATAAAGGTTAGATTTGAAACCCAATCCTGCATTTGCTGTGTTTAAACACCCCCTGTAAGCGTCAGAACGCCGTGTCTGGGCAGGAGTTGTTTCTTCCCTCTCGGGAGCTGGCACAGGCTGGAATGCCCAAATTGGGGTGGGTCTGTGTTCCCTGTGGGTGAGGGGGAAGCAGGCAGGGCTGTCAGGTGACACAAATGTTTGGGCACCAACCTCAGGGCTCGTGTTTGGTGGAGTTTCCCGGGAGCTCAGGGAGCTCAGCGCTCCCCCGGTGCCGTGGCAGATGGGTGGGCACGGCTTCCTCCCCAGAGCAGGGCTCTGCAGAGGTTTTCCTGTTGCCATCACTCATGTGAGAGCCCTGTCAGCCCATTAACCTTCAGACATTTGTGTCTCTGGCAGCTGGGACTCCATCAGGTGGCTCTGCAGAAGGGGGAACCTGCAGTTCCACTGGGTTAGTCCCTGTGCACGTTTCCAAGTTGTGCATCTCAGACACTGAAAGTCTCTGAAGCTTCAGAGCAGCATTCCCTGAAGCTTTGTGTCTACAGGAATGCTTAATTTGGTTTTAGGTGGTTTTTTGGGTTTTTTTTGTTTTTTTTTTTTTAATCTTTTATTTCTGCTGGTGCTCCTCCTGTTTTTCCCAGGCTGTCTGTGAGGCAAATGGTAGGAGTGGGGTGGAACTGTGCAGCTGTGCCTGGTAATGTCCTCTCTTTGATGAGAGCAAACTGGGAACAGTTAAGGGCAGAGCATAATTGAATCTTCCATTAAAATGAGATTTTTCCTAGTAACAGTCTGAGCGTGGGATGAGGTTTTCTTTCAGCTAATGACTGAAGTGAGCTTTGTGTGGTCATTAGTTGGACAAGTGGATGAGATCAGTTTTTAGGATGTGGTGTTTGTGACTTTGCAGTGCTGTGGATGGAGCTCAACATGCCCTTGTTGTTAAGGCCTTTGAAGTCTCAGGAAGTGCATCTTGAATGGCTTCAGTATGAGGAATCTTGAGGCTGTTCCAGAGCTGCTCAGTCCCTAATTACCAATGGCTGTTCCTTGGATGAAAGGAACTTCCAAGTATCTAGTTCTTAACTTGTCTGGGACCAAGCTTTGCTAGCTCCTGGTTTCATTAGCTCTTATTCCTTGGCTGTTCATACACTATTCTTTCTTGCCTGCCTGATGCAGCTGCCCCAGTTATTTGCTGTGCAGCTTCTCTGACCCCTCAGTGCCATCTGTGAGAGCCAGACCAGCTCAGTGCCTCAGAGCAGGTGTTCACATGCAAATGCAGAGCTGTTTCCTCCCATCTCCTGCTTCCAGCAGACAGCAACTGGCAACAATTCCCCTTTTGTGTCTGCAAGGGAATCCCTACAGCAGGCTGCTCCTTTCTCTTCTCTTGTTTCCACTATGCTGTGCTGCTCTTTGCTGCCAGACTCTGGGAGATGGAGAAAGCTGCAGGAGGAACTCCCTGGCAAATCCACCTGAGTGAGCTGCTGTTGATGGTCCTCAGATGAGGGGGGGAAATTCAGTTCTGTTCTTTCTCTGACAAAGAGTTTCTTCCAATTCTTCATTCCCCTGCTTTTTATTTTCTTCTGCCCTTCACCTCTCACTTTTCCCTTTGGCTGAATAAGGAGTGAAGCTCTGCGAGGGGCACGGTGTGTTTTGAAACACTTCATTGTGCCTCGGACTGCCCCGAGGGCGTTGTCATTATCGCCTCCGGATTTGCATATTTAACTGGCTTTGTCTCCTTTGTTCCCGTGTGACCTCTGCCTCTCTCTGGTGCTTCCAGCGTGATCAACAAGTCCGGAGTGAACCGTGTGGTGTGGAAGAGGCCCCGGCTGAGCCACAACGGCCCCGTTCGCCGCAGCACCGTCATCGACCAGATCCCCTTCCTGGCCGTGGCCAGAGCCCTGGGTGAGTGCTGTGCTGGGGGCGAACATGGAGTTCGAGGGATTCAAGCACTTGCTTTTTTGCAAGCCTGGGCCTTTAAAATTTATTTTTAATCCAATCTGGATTTATTTTTTTTTGAATCTGTAAAAGGTGGCGTCGGTGAGAGAAGAACCCGCCTTAAAACTTTCAGGGGTTTCAGTGTCAGCCTTACAAGGATGGGACTTAATTTCTGGTGCAAATGAAGATGTATAAGCAGCACATTGTCTCCAGGGTGGAGAGCACCTTGGTCTTTTTCTTGCTGAGATAACAGGACTGGAGTTTTTGACTGGTTGGTGAAACTTAAGTGTTGCTGGATGGCACCTGAATTCAGTCTGTCCTTTTGTGGTGAATCTTTTCTCTTTAAGACTTAGCATAGAATGGGATGAAAGTCAAGTCTGTGTTTTATCTGTTAACTTGCCTTTGTGGGAGCCCTAATAATGGGAAACTGTCTTTGAGAAACACTTTATTCCAAGGACAAAAAGGCATATTGCAGTACTGGAAAACTAGTGACAAATAGTTTTTGGGAAGTGCTTCATAACTGAAGCACTGGATGCCTCTTACCCATGAGTGTTGGTGTCTGCTGGTTATTTTTTCCCTAAAAACACAGGGATCTGTCCAGGCTTAAGGAGAACTTTGCAGTGAACATTTAAAAGCCAGATCCATATCAAAGTGGTGGAACGGTGCTCTTATAAAATTTTAATTGTATGGACATTTTCTCAGTAGCTTCCAGCCTTTATGGGCCATATTTTAGGTAGGATAGAGTTTATTTTGTGGTTAGTAAAACCGACTGGGGAGTTGGAGTAAATCCTTGGAAGAGTCTTTGGCATCTTCAGCTTGTGGCACAGAAAGAATCCTGGCCCAAGAGAAACCTTGTGGCCAGATGAGCTCTGTTGACATCCCCTTTCTGATTGTCACAAGTGCCCTTCTGCCCTAAAATAAGCATTTGTGGAATGCTTAATTCCATTTAAATACAGTGGCTGTATTTAAGTATTTAAATAATGTTTAATTGCCCCAGAACAAGGCAGAAATATTTGGGCTTCCTCCTGTCCCTGTGAAGCATCTTTAAGCTTCTTTTGCTGAATCCAGCAGGTTTTTGTGCCTTCTAATGGAATATTTTAAGCTGTAACAAAGTATTCTGCATTTTCACAGCTATTTCTGCTGACCTTTTCTGGGCAATGAAAACATTTCTTTTTATACCAATTTGCCTCCTAATAAATATGAATCCCAGGGAGTCCCAGAATTGGAAATCTGGCTCTGTGTGTAATTTTGGAAGGTGCTGCACTAAGCAGGGGATGTAGAGAGAGAAGCTACACTTGGTATCACTTGAAACCAAGTGATAGAAGCAAGTGTAGGAAGGAGCAGACAAGCAGGGTGATTAATGGCTGGGCTTTGGGGGTTCCTGCAAGTGCAGCTTCAAGTCATTGTGGTTTTCCTAAGCTGCTGTTTAAGTTCATATCCCCCAGCCCGGGTGAGTTCACTGCTAACAGTGTGGTGGCAGAAATGGGGCTTTTAAAGGGCTTTTTGATTTATGTGGCATCTCTCTTGTTGGTAAATTAGCTCAGCTCTAAATCTGGTAAATATTTTATAGACTTTTTTTCCCCCTGTTCCCCTCCCCTTTTCCCTGGGAACTGATGTGGAGCCAAGACCTGCAGCTGTGAGTGGGTTCTGTGGGGAGGGATTGCCCTGAAGTATTGGAGGTGTTTGGGGGGTGTTTAAATTAATGAATGATGAAAGCTGAGCCAAGAGCCCCTTAGTTAAACGCCCCAGTCACATGGGAACACAAGCTATCCTTTCCCTGGATTTTTATATGGAACTATAATAGACTCAGCCCTGTATTTCAGGTAGGGCAGCCTCTGCCATGCAGGTTGGACTTTTCCTAAGAGCAGGAATTCCCTGCTGCCCCCTAAAAGGAGTTGTGTGCTAGCACAGGGAATCCCTGGATAGCTGCAGGAATGTTGGCTCTGACAGGGACAGGGAAGCTGTTTCCCAGAGCAACTTCCTGGATGCCAGAGTTTTGTGAAGCTCCCTGAATGCACATTCCATGAAACCCCGGGGAAGAGGGTGTTGCTGACCTCAGATGATCTCAGTAGACTCCTGTATGATGGTCTAGGTTTTTTACATGCATTTAACCATTATTTTACTGGAGTCTGCCTCTCCTTTGGCAATGTAGAAAAGCAATCCCAAACCCTTCTCCCAAAGGCAGAACTTCAGCCAGGTTTGGGCAGTGCATTCTTGGGGTTTGCCCCTTCTCCAGCTGAGCAGATGCTGCCCAGGATTGGCTGCTGAAGCTTCAAATTCCACCCTGGTGTTCATTTAATTCAAGGCCAGCCACTGGGAGTAGCTTCCTGCAGGTCATTTGAGCTCTTTGCCTCTGCTTTTGCAAGGAGTTCTTGCAGGTTTTCTCATTCCAGCCCCCTGCCACGGGCAGGGAGACTTCCCACTAGCCCAGGTTGCTCCAAGCCCTGTCCAACCTGTTCTTGAGCACTTCCAGGGATGAACAGTGCTTTAGGAGCAGCTTTTGATTCACCATTCATTTCAAATGCAATTATTTGTGTAATTTGCTGTTGAAATACTGTTCTCTCAGCTGTGCTTTGCCTTTCTGTTGAGGGTGGCATCCTTTCTGCAGGTTAGACTGAAATAGTGTGTAAATAAAACAAGTTCCTAAAAACACACTGCTCAAAGAGTGCAGAAAGTTTTAAAGCCTCAGGTGCTTCTGTGTCACTTCTCTGCTTGCTGTCCCTGCAGTTTTGTCCCCATCTCTCAGCCTGAGCTCTCCTTAATCATTCCTGATTGGAAATCAGGATGGGACACTGCTTCCATTCCTCCCCTCCTGGCTCCAGGCCTGGCTTGCCAGGGGTGCAGTGAAAATCCCCCCCCAGCTCAGCCTGACTGGTTTCCAGTGGTTCCTGTCCTCATCCTTGCAGGGATTTGTCTCACTTCCCCCAGCTCTGCTTCCCTGGCACTGGGAAAAAAAGGAAGTTCTGCAAGTCTTCCCTTTGTAGCAACAGCCCTGTCAGATAAAACTGGGCTTTGGAAAGCTCTGGGATTAATCAAACCAGGTTTTTGGTTTGGACCCACTTATAAAAGTCAACGTCTCTTTCCTCTATTAAAACCAAAAGCTGTTTTTGTATTTTGTATGCAAAGCAGCATCTCCTGAAACAGGAATGAAAGGCTTCTGTGACTTCTGGACATGCTTTGCTCTAAGAAGGCTTTGGGTTTAATCCAGTCCAGCCCACTTACGTGATGGGTGTTTTTGTTTGGAGCTTCAGTTGCCTCCCTGGCAGCAGCTGAGCTAAAAGTAGGTTTTTTGTTGTATTTTAAAAGTTAGCACTGAGCACGTAAGTGAGACTGCACAATTTGATATATTCTCATAGGCAGCTAAATTAGAGTCCTGTTCCTTCAGGATCTGATTTCAAACATCTCTTTCATTTTGTAAGATGCAGTATTTTAATGTGGAGCTCTGTATATTATTCAGGTTTGAGCCAGCACTGAGGAACAGGTATGACTTTTCTGGAAGATGTAGAAAGAACCACGTTAATAACAATTTTTTAATGCTTTGGAAAAGAAATATGCAAACCTCACACTGCAAGGAATATTCCCAGTGTGTAAAGTCTTTAAAGAAGGAGATTGTTAAAGAGTTCTGTAAATGTTTGGGTTTTAATTCAGAACGAAAATAGTCTGGCTCCCAGAAGGGAGTCAGAGCCTGGCATTGCAGTGCTGTAACAGGAGCCTTTGGCACATCCCAGGATCACGGGATCCCTCCTTCCCAGCCTGCCAGAGGGTCACTGTCCTTCTGCTTGCTTTGGAACAGAATTAAACATTTCAGAGCCCTTTGAAATGCTCAGGGAAGAGTGTGCTGTGCCTCCTGCCTGGCCTCCCTGGCCCTCTCTCCTCCCCAGGGCTGGGGCAGAGGCTGCCCCGGGAGGGACTCTCCAGGTTTGTGATTCCTGAGCTCTCCAGGTTTGTGATTCCCGAGTCTCCAGCCGGGCAGGGAGGGCACACAGCTGACATTGGAATGACAGCATTCCATCTGGACAGCAGCTCCACAAAGCTCTGGCTCAGCCTGTGCTGAAAATAAATCCAAACTCACTGTCCCTGCCCTGTGACAGGGATCAGCCTCTGGGGGGTCTGAGAGCCCCTCCCCGAGCGGAGCATCCCGAGGCAGCTCCTCCTGCCAGGAATTCTGCAGGTCCATGGAGCAGCCTGCTGAGAAATGAACACCAGAGACAGTTCTCCCTGTTCTTCAGGGCAGTCACAAGTACTGGTTGTTTCCTCCTAGGCTGAGGAAGGCAGAATTTCACTGTATGCCTCAGGCTTCAAGTATTCCCTGTGGAATTTTTGCTGGGTTAAGGACCAAAAGCTTTGTTTTCTTTCAGTTTGTGGATCCTGGGGCTCTTCTGAGATTCCAGTAGCTCCTGACTGGTCTGATTGGTCAGTTAATTCCTGATTGGGCTTTAATGCTCTTCCATCCTATGGCTTTGGGAATAAATTATTCCCAGTATATTTCCTCTTTATAACCACTGTGATATTCCCAGTTATCCCTGTGAGGAGCCTTCTTCCTCTTGGAGAAGATCCCCTGAAATCAGTGTGGTGATTACTTGGCAGTTTGCTCGGGAAGAGCAGCAGATGGACACGCTGACATGTTCATCCCTGAACCCAACTGAAACAGCAGCAGGTTATTTTTATCACCCAGCCCGGGATTTTAATTAAAACAACGATTCAGTGAATGACAGTTGTCATTTCTCCTACATGGGTGTGAACAAAGAAGCAAAGAGCAGCATAAAAATATTATGCACGTTGGAAATGGATGCTGCCAGGACTCCAAGGGTGGGTTTGTGATCCCAGGCTCCTGTTTGTTCACCTGCTGTGTCCACGACAGGTCGGTGGGAGGAACTTTGGGTGGCAATTCCCATCCAGCAATTTCTGTGCTGCAGCTCCTGTGCTCCAGGATTTCTTTCTTTGGCTGCCTTTCCAGCTGGCTTTGCTGGGGTGCACCTCTGGACATTGGCTGTTAATTAGGGCTCATTAGCAGCGTGTGCTTGTCGGGGAGGAGAATTGGGGCTTTAATGAGGGTGGAGCAGCCCTCCTTGCTGGTGGAGAGCACTAATTGAGCCCAAGTATTCCCTTCCCTCATCCTGGAAGAGTCTTTTCAGCTGGTTGATAGCTTAAGGCAAAAGCTAATGGAGGGAAGTAGGAAGACAAGAAGCTTATTTATTATCTTTAAAAGGGTGGTGATGGATGTGGAAGAAGCTCCAGGCTTTGTGAGGGCAGCAAAAAGCCAAGAGCCTGACAAACCTTTGCTCTTGAGCTGGAGTTGCTGAGCTTCTCTTTGCTGCTCAACTCTGACATTTTAATTAATTTCTGCTTTTAAAGGTGTGTGTCCTGCACAGAAAAGCTTAGCCAGTGCTTGCAATTAATAATGTTACTTTTTGTTGCTTTTTGCTGTGGGAAGTTGTTTGTGAACATGGAAATGAAAGAGAAGGTGCCAGCACAAATTATTTCTTGATTGAAATGAAGGATTTTAATTTTTTCAAATACACTTGGTAAATGAAATTGAAATAATTTGATATGGAAATGGAATTTTCTGATGGAGGGGGTTTTACCTGAGGAGGGTTTGGAGGGAGCACTGGATGCAGGGGATGTTTGGATGTGTTGCTGCCAAGGTGACCCCCAACTCATTCACACGGTGAGGGAGGGGTAAAAATAGAAAGGTTCCCTGGCTGAGGCCGTCCTGGGGAGAGGCTGCAGCTCTCATTCCCTGCTGGAACTCAGCACTCCTCGTGTTCCTGTGGCTGCTCTCCAGCTCTGGAGTTTGGCACAGGGTGTTCAGCTGGAAGGAGGCTCCAACAGCCCTGCAAGGGATGCAGAGGGAAGAGGGACGGGAAAGAGGATGGAGCAGGGGAAAGCTCAGTCTCCTCCCTTCCCCTCTGCCTTTGTCCCCTCCCTGTGGCACCTGCCCACACGAATATTTGCAGGTTTGGTGTGGGATCAGCAAAGTAAGGCCTTACTTCTGTTTAAGGAGGACTTTATAAATCCAGGTGGGTTTTACTTTGGGCAGCGATTGAGGTTTCACCATTTTCGAGGTGTTAATCTCTGATATTTCCCCTTGTCCCAAAAACTAGTTTGAAGAGAGTAGATCTCCTATAAACATAGGTTTGAATGTGGCTTAATTTGTTGCATTAAATACGATTGGAAGGTGACAGCAGCAGAACAGCAGCTGTGCTGGAATTCCTTCGTGTTGCTGGCAACTCCAGCCTGGTGCCGATGGTTTTCCCGGGAACACTGATCTGTATTTTCCAAGATGGAGATTTCTCACGTGGAGTGTAACCACTCCAACCCATTTTCTGCTTTGCCAGGTGACCTCTGGAGCTACGACTTCTACAGTGGGGAGTTTGTGGTGTCCCCTGAGCCCGACACGAGCGTTCACACCATCGACCCCCAGAAACACAGATACATCATCCTGGGCAGTGACGGGCTCTGGAACATGATCCCACCCCAGGATGCCATCTCCATGTGCCAGGATCACGAGGAGAAGAAGTACTTCGTGGTGAGAGCAGTGGAAATTTAATACTTTTTACCTCTAAAAGTCGCTCAGACTGAGCAGTGAAGTATCCAACAAAGGGGTTGTTACTTGGGCATATTCGGTTTTGCCACAACATAAAGTTGTTAGAACAGCTTAGTTGTAGAGGCTGATGTCAAATAACATTGTTGAGTTTATTATTATTATTATTTGGTTGTCATTTTGGGGAAATGTGACCACTAGAATGGTATCTCTCAGTAATAAAGGACGTGGTGTTCCTTCTCTAAGGAGGTTATACAAAATGCTGTCTGAAAATCAAATTTATCTCACGTCAGGGCTCGTGTCCCAATGCAGACAGTTGCTTAGACTGAATTAAATTATTCTCTGGTTTATTTTACAAAGCAGTTAAGATGAGGGCAGTGGTCACAGCACCAAGGCTGCCAGGGCTCCAGAAGCAGTTGGACAATACCCTCAGGCACAGGGTGTGACCTGTGCAGGGCTGAGGGTTGGACTCCCTGATCCCTCTGGGTCCCTCCCAGCTCGGCACATTCTGGGATTCTGTGAATTCCTGTAGTGGAGCATCAGACAGTAAATGCTCTGTAAACCCTGGAGAGGCTTTGGGAGGGCTGTAGGTTGTGCCACAGGCAGGCAGTGTTCTGGTTTAGAGCACTAAAAGAAGAGGTGGAAGGAAGAGGTTTCCACGAGTGTTTCCTCCCGTGTTTCCGGCTGGAGCTCCTTCAGCGCGTGACTCGCAGGAGCACAAACCAACAGCTGTGCTGCCCCTGTGCCACCTCCCAGTGTCCCTGACGTGTCCCTGACGTGTCCCTGACGTGTCCCTGACGTGTCCCT